GACTAATAAGGTCATTGCTGCAGGAAAAATAGTACAAGGCCTTTATGTTCTTGAGAGGACCTCCTTTTCTGAGAAGACTATCTTACAATCACAAGCATATTATGCTTCATATATGCTTTCTTTCAGAAATCCTTCTGTAAATAGACTAAAAAATAAATAGCTTGCAGAATGCTTTTCATGCTTTTTCATCTTGTCTGGCATTATAGATTAGGGCATCCATCACCAATTGTAATGAAAAATGTAGCTCTGAATCTTGATATGCCAAACTTGTAATGTAATGATCAACAGTGTGCTATCTGTCCTCTAGCAAAGCAAAGTAGGAACTCATTTCCTTCCAATTGTATTTAAACAACAAGGTGTTTTTCACTATTGCATATTGATGTATGGGGACCGTATAAGCAAGTTTCTATGAATGGATCATAGTTTTTCCTCACTATTGTTGATGATTTTAGTCGAATTGTTTGGAATTTTTTTTTTCAAACACAAGTCACAGGTTGCAAACATCATTGCCTCTTTCTTTTCTTACATCAAAACTCAGTTTCATAGCCAAGTTCAAATTATCAGAACGAATAATGGAACTGAGTTTCTCAGTGGAAAATTCTAGCAATTGCTATCAGACGTAGGAATCATCCATCAAAGGAGTTGCCCTTATACACCACAACAGAATGGGGTGGTTGAAAGAAAGCACCGCCACATTTTGCAAGTGGCCAGGGCTTTATTGATCCAATCTCACATGTTAAAAACTTTCTGGGGGGAGTTAGTACTTACAGCCACCCGTCTTATAAACAAAATCTCTTCTCCATTACTCAAATGGCGATCTCCTTTTGAAATCCTAAATGGTTATAAGCCTGATCTCTCTTATTTGTGATTGTTTGGAAGCCTTTGTTATGAGTAATGGTCCTGATCGTGAAAAATTTGATGCCCGTTCTTTTCAAGGCATCTTTGTGGGTTATCCTTCTCATCAAAAGGGCTACAAAGTACTCTGTCCCACCTTGCATAAGATCATAGTATCAAGAGATGTAAGGTTTCAGGAAAACATTTTTCCTTATAAGCCAAATTCTGTCTCAGTTCCTCTTCCAAATATTCCAAATGTTTCCAGTGATGAAGATTTTCTCTTGGATCTTTTAGAATCTTCTTCATCTCAACCAACTGATGGAAATGATCCTCAAACCTCTCATGATATCCAGTCTGACCAGGTTCATCATCCTCTTTCCAACCCTCCTTCACCATCTGATTCTATCATTTCTTCTCAACCTGATCACAATCCAGACTTGTTGAATACTTCTTCTTCTCCTTCCTCTGAAAATTCTTCTCATTCACCCATTCTTAGACGTAGTATCAGACGTAGTACCCCCATTTGGATGCAGGATGTTGTATGTCTTCCACATAGTCTGCATGCTTATGAAACCGACATTTCTAATGCTGATTGTCTCTTTTCTGACATGTATAAAGCTTTCTATATCAGATATCCATGAACCTTCTTGTTATAGTCAAGCTAGAACTAATGAAAAATGGCAGGAAGCTATGAATTTGGAGTTGCAGGCATTAGAGCAATACAACACTTGGACTGTGGTAGATCTTCCTCCTGGTAAAAAAAATAGTGGGTTGCAAATGGGTGTACAGGGTCAAATGCAAACCTGATGGAACAGTTGATAGGTATAAGGCAAGGCTCGTTGCAAAGGGATACACTCAAGTGGAGGGTGAAGACTTCACTGAAATTTTTTCTCCAGTGGCAAAAAGTATAACAGTTAGAGTGTTGATTGCTATGGCAGCTTGTAAGAATTGGTGTCTCCATCAGTTGGACGTAAATAACGCGCTTCTTCATAGAGGATTAGAAGAAGAGGTGTACATGAAACCTCCTCCTGGCTATGGTTTGCTGAGAAAGGGTCAAGTTTAGATTAAAAAAAATCCCTTTATGGATTGAAGCAGGCCTCTCGAATGTGGAACACTGAGCTGACAACCGCTTTACTGGCTTATGGTTTTTATCAGTCACCTAACGATCGTTTGCCTTTTTATCCTTGATCGTGATGCTACCTTTGTTACTTTGCTGGTATATGTTGACGACATCCTGGTTACAGGGTCCCATGCATCAGAAGTAATCAGAATCTAACAACATTTGGATGATCGTTTCACCATCAAGGATTTAGGCTCCGCCAAATATTTCTTTGGAATGGAATTGGCACGATCCTCCTCAGGAATTTTCATTAGCCAGAAGAAATATATTTCTGATCTTTTGTGTGATGCTGGCATGTTGGATTGATCTTTTGCGCGACCCACGGGTTGATCCAACCCGCGTAGCATTTTGACCCGTGCGGGTTGGGTCAAAAGGGTCGCAGGTCAGAATGGGTCGCAAGTCAGAATGGGTATGTGAGAGACGGGTTGGGTTGGGTTATCATGACCCGTGGGTCAAGACGGGTCACAAAAAAAAAATACGGAGCAACTTCATATGAATCTATTGCCAACTTCGATGGCATCGAACTAGTGACTAACTTCATCTGCTGTTTACCGCAACTATTGCCACCTCCCGTCTGCAGATCCGCCACCAAAAATAAGAAGAAATTTTTATTTTTATTTAACTAAATTACATCATGGGCTCATAAATAAAACAATGTTTTTTCAAATTTAAATCCTAATCAGAACTCAGAAGGCAAATTATCAAAATGGAAAAGAGGAAAAGAGCCCAACTTGAAGCTAACATGGTAAACGAAGGGGGAAAGATGGATCGGGGAGTTGGCCGTTTGTTTGGGGTTATGGAAACTGGAAAGTGGTGGGGGTGGGTGTGTTGTGGTGTTTGGAAGGAGGGGAGTGACGGCTAGGAAAAATGTGTGTGGGTACGTGTGTCTTTGCGTTTTTTCTTTTTCTTTTTTTCCTTTTTCTTAATTTTGGTTTTTGAAGATAACAAGTAGTAAGCTAGTTTTTTACTTCAACAATATTTCATTTTAAATCCACGGATTTAGAACTTTGTGGTTTAAAAAAAATAAAAAATATGAACATCGTGAGTTTAAACCTAGTACGGCTCATGGGTTGATGATCCATTATGGCCCCGAAACATATGGTGCGAATATAGGAAATGTAGATTTTATTTGAAAAAAAGGTTCAATTCGACCCGCGTACTGTGAACCAGTTTATGGGTCGACCCAGCTAAACTTTGCTCGTGAAAATTTAAAGTCCAACCAGTTATAAAAAGTAAATATAAATTTTATTTGGAAAAAAGTTCAATTCGACCCGCATATCGTGATTTGGTTACTAAGTCGACCCAGTTCGACTCACGGGTAGACCCATTTAAACTTGGCTTGAAACGTGAAAATTCAAACCCAAACGAGTTTTAAAAGACAAATGTAGATTTTTTTTGAAAAAAATCCCAATTTGACCCGCGTATCGTGACCCGGATCATGGGTCGACCCAGCTAAACTTCGCCCGAAACGTGAAAATTTATAGTCAAACGAGTTTTAAAAGATAAATTTAGATTTTATTTGGAAAAAAATCCCAATTCGACCTGTATATCGTGACCCGGCTACTAAGTCAACCCAGCTCGACCCACTGGTCGACCCAGTTAAACTTGGCTCGAAATGTCAAAATTAAAATCCAACGAGTTTCAAAAGATAAAGGTAGATTTTATTTGAAAAAAAAAAAATCTCAATTCGACCCGCGTATCGTGACCCGGATACTGGGTTGACCCAATTCGACCCACGAGTTGACCCAGTTAAACTTCGCCTGAAATGTGAAAATTTATAATCAAACGAGTTTTAAATGATAAACATAGGTTTTATTTGAAAAAAAAATCCCAATTCGACCCTCGTATCGTGACCCGACTACTGGGTTGACCTAGTTCGACCCACGAGTTGACCCAGTTAAACTTGCCTCGAAACGTAAAAATTTATAGTCAAACGAGTTTTAAAAGATAAATGTAGATTTTATTTGAAAAAATTCTCAATTCGACCTGCGTATCGTGATCCGATTATTAGGTCGACCTAGTTCAACCTATGGGTCGACCCAGTTAAACTTCGCACGAAACGTCAAAATTTATAGTCCAACGAGTTTTAAAATGCACGTTTAAGTTAGAAAATTTTAATTTTAAAAATTGATGTGTGTTATTTTTCCAAAAAAATAAAATTTGTAAATTAACTCAATAAAAACTCAAAAAATAGGCCATGACCTGCAGTTCAACCCGTACAGGTCAACCCGCGGGTCAAAAAATTATACTGGCTTAACATGAGCAGGCTGACCCGCTAGTTGACTCGTGAGCGGCGCCAACCCGTCTTGACCCAATCCGTTCTGACCCGCGCTTATGACAAGTTGGGTTGGATCTTAACCCGCCTACTCCTTAACCTACCTTGATCCAACCGCGGCTGACCCAGCCCGCATAATTGCCAAGCCTTGCACCACAAGAAAGTCTTGATTTGTTTTAGTCATTGCGATTGATTTTGTAATCAGATAGTTTTCTTTTTTTTTTTTTTTGGTTTTTATGTTTTGTACTTGGTTCTAACTTTTATAAAAAGATAAAGATATAAGTTTTGAGAATGAAAGCGAAGTGACTTGATCAAAATTTTGGAACACTGATTGAACTAGCTAAGTTTTCACAATGATTGATACTGCCTCTTAAAAATTAGGATCGATAAATATTTTGGGAAGAGAAGAGTATAATTTTTTTTTTTTTTGCCAAATATGTCCACTAGAGATGTACAATAACTTCTATTATTATGCAAAAAAAAATAAAAAAAATCAAACCTTTTGCATTTTTGATGTTCGAAGTTTGTATAATGGTATCACTAATTTATAGATTAGTTTATCAGTTTATTTAAATCAACACTATCACACTAGATATTGTGAAACCAGTACAATATAATGATGCCCGACTTTTCTATTTGTCACTTACAGATCATAAAGTTATTAGGGTGTTGATTAGAATAGCTAATTAGTTCACCAAACCCAAAAATCCATGATGTAGTAAGTACTCCATCCAATGTCACAATCCAAAATTCAAAATGCAAGAAAGTCATTTCGGGAGAGAAATCGATAATATGGAAAAAAATAAAAAAGTCATATTCGCAACATGTAAATTTCGGATACAACTTTAAACACTCATCCCACCTCATATGAATAGATTACTTTGTTCACCTTTTAATTTAACAAATCTGACTATTAATATGAGAAGGAAAGAATACTGTCGAGAGATTAAATCATGACCAAAACGAAAAAGAAACGAAAACATTTCACAGCTTGAAATGTGACAATGCGGCGTTTCCATCCATGCTTTCTTTCAGGAATTGGGTTGTGTATTCTTCAATAGTGATGTCTTTATAAACAGCGGGATTTTTTTCAGACAGTAACTCTTTGATTGGTCCATAAGATCTTGTCACAGCACCTCCACCATATCGTGGCCTAAAGAAACTTGCCACTGATATTCTAGGGCCAATTTTATTTGCAAGTACTCTGTGATGGACACTTTTGAATCTATCATTTGTCACAATCTGTATAATAAAAGGTTAACAAACACGAATGAGCTAGGAACCAAAAAATATATATATTTGGAATTTACAAAGACATTATTAACATCACAATTTTTCGGAAGCATAGGAATAAACCAAATAAAATTTATTCTCTCTGTCCCGAAATTATTGTCTAGTTTGAATTTTTATTTTAGTTCAATTTGTACTAAAAATGAAAATCTAAACTATATAATAATTTTGGGACTGAAGAAATATATATAACTTCTTACTGAAAATATAGCACATAGCTATAATAAATTATAAAAGCGAAAGGGCTGACGCACCAGCTTCTTGTTCTCCTAACTGTGCTCATTTAACATCCTCTCGATTTGCTTTTACGAGCTTATAGTTTCCATAACATTTAATTTATATGGTAAATAAACAAACAGAAACACCATTGATATTGGTAAGTTATACTATACATACCTGCAGCAAGTCTCCCAAATTGATGACCAGAGCTCCTGGCAAAGGAGGGACATCAACCCATTGATTATTATTCAATACTTGAAGACCACCAATTTGGTCTTGAAGGAGTATTGTGAGGAAAGTATTGTCAGTGTGGTCAGCGGTACCAAAAGTCAACTCTGGTTCAGGACAAGGTGGATAATAATGCCCCTTTAGCACATGACCTTCACCACATTCTAAATCTTGCAAGTAACTAGGATTCAGTCCTAAAGCCTCTGAGATCAACCTTAACAGGTCAACGGCTAATTCCATCACATATTTTCCATACTCAATCGCAGCATTCCTGCAAGAAGTACGCGTACAATTCTTTACATTTCAATACAATTTACTACTCAATCCATCCCATAATTGTTATCCAGTTTGGGTTTTCATTTCTAGTTTAAATTGTACTTAAAATGAAATCTCAAACTGGACAATAATTTTAGGACAGAGGGAGTATATTTTTTTTTTACCAGTAATATAGTAAGGTAATAGTTTTTTTAAAAAAAAAAAAAAAGCTCGTACCTGCAAATGATGGGAATTTCTTCAGGTTGTGGTGGAGAAGGCTCCATGTTGAAAGTAATAGTATCTTTCCAAACACCTGCTTTTGAATAGTAAAGATCAATATTACTATGATACAAAACCTTCCTAGCCATATCCCGGCTGTACAATTCGCTTTTCGCCTCATGATCTTGCTCGTGAAACAATCGTATCGCATGTAACATATCCTCTAGAACACTAGTAGGAATTCCATGATTAATGACTTGGAAAAATCCCCAGTTTTCGCAAGCTTCTCGAACTTGATTCACAATATCAGAATGGTTGATATGGTCATTCGTCCTATCCATCATCAAATCAATTGTTGGAACACCAAAGCCGTTGACTTTCTTCCCTGCATGGACTGATTTGGCCATATTCTGATTAGCATTTTGGCCATCGTGATGGACAAAGATTGGAGGAATTTTTGTGATCCCAGAATCAAAAAGTCCCTTAACACCGGTTTTTGTATCATCGAAAGCTTTCAGGTTGCTTTGGCGATCGTAATTGAAGGGGGACATTTTGTCAACCATGATTGCCCCAAGGCTGGCTTTGCAAGACTTAAAACTGAGCTTATTATTGGAAGATGCGAAGTGTTTTTTTGGGTAGGAAGCTTCATGTTGTGTGGAGAAATTGAAAGAATGCTTAAAGGCTTTCGACATGGTCAATCAAGGACAATGTCTTGACTCTTGATGATGGAACAGTAGTTTTATCTTGGAAAAATTATCGTGAATTTTTCCAAGATTCCCTAACTTATTTTACACAATTATAACACCAAATAACGAATGTCCCCGAAGGACATCTATATATAGTATAGTGGATCAAATAAGTGAAAATAGATAAATAATCTTATCTCTATCTCTAAAAAAAAAAAATATACATTAAGTTTGAGATAAAGATGATGATAACAACGATAATATACGGATAAAATTTTTTTATTATATCATTTTTTTCGTCTCAAAATAAAAATGAAAACAACCAGTACTATTAGATGGAGAAAAAGTTATTTATTTATGGCGATGGATCATATTGTATATTCCTTTCACCGTACCACGACGAATTAGTTGCATGTGTTTGTTGGAATCAATTAGGTAATATTCATTTTTTAAACTTAATGTTTCAACTAATCAATTATGTGCAGTTCCTCATTGTGAAAACAATTCAAGCAATCATTAAACTTAATTTATCTTCTCACTCAAAAGGCAATTAATTGGTTCAGTCATTAGCAGTTTCATTTGATGACATGACGTTTATTGTCGACTGAAATGATAGTTGAAAATACATTTTATTTTATTTTTTTTAAAAAAAGAAAGGCCTATTGCAAAGAGATTATATGTAAAGAAAAAGTAACACTAAGTCAATAATCAGTCAAATAATTGATCCCCTTGTTACATGTGTTTGTGTTTTTAATATTATCTCTGTCTTAAAATCAATAGTTTATGTTGCTAGCTTCAAACAAAATGACAAAATAGATTTGTTTTTTTTTTTAGATAATTGCGTGGAGCACTTTGTCGTAGAATCAAAGGATTGACAACCTTAATGCACACCTACCCCCGGGAAAATCATTTGATTAATTTCCAGCTTCCAATGCATGAACCTCATTAGATGTAAATTTGATGGTGCCAATTAGCAGGGAAATAGAGGGAAGTTGATGAGAAATTAATGAAAATATATGGAATTCAATAGCATTAGTAATCTATGAAGGGTTGGAAATGAACCCGATCGTCCTGGTGCTTATTACAATTACCTCTAGCCTAGGTACAAGCGTTTAGGATCTACTGCTCCTAATTTTTACAAAGAATTAGTAATAAAGCTGAGAATTCTCAGAACTATCAATTCGATTTCTCGAATTGACTCTACAACATGATAATTGTTAATCAAAGGGGACGTGGTTGAACGGAAAAGGCCCATTCACCTTTTTACCAGTAGTAGTTGGGAGTAGTTTGAAACCCACCAAGATCTTGCAACAATTTTAAATTGTTCCACAACCCTCCAAGATCGTGCTTGTAGTGACGGTAGCAGCTTTGTTGGTGTTCGCTGATATAGTCTAAAAAGATGCAATTGTTGTATATTAACTGTTATAGATATATAATTTTAGAAGTTTCAATTTATGTTTAGTGTTGTATCATTAACCGACTCTTGTAAGTTGTGTTTTCCAGATAGTATCTTTCTTGGTCAATTGCTGCCGGACGATTTTGAATAAATAAAAAACTTTTATTTCTAAAAAATCATCCTTTATTGTGAATATTTTCAAATTTCGAAGAAACTTTTTTGTTTTTTGCCTTATTTACTCTTAAATAAATTAACTTTAGTAGTGACACAATAGTAACCTCCAATCATAACCTTAACAATGGCGCACAAATATTCAGATAACAAACTTCCCAAAAGTTAGAATAGAGAAATTGTATTAGATTCATTGTATTGTTATGTACAATATACAGACTATATATAGACAATACCAAACCCTAAACAAGGACATTATAGGAAATATACTAAATATTACAATACGCCCCCTCAAACTGACGGCGGAGAAGAGAGAAGCAGAAGTTTGTCCCGGAATCGAAAGAATAACTCTTTGGACAAGGGTTTTGTCAGAATATCCGCAAGCTGATCAGTAGCAGAGATAGAGTTGACCGAAACAAACTTTCGCCGAACATGATCACGAACAAAGTGAAAATCAACCTCAACATGTCTGGTACAAGCATGGAACACAGGATTGACAGCAAGGAAAACTGCACTACTGTTGTCACACCAAATAGAGGGAGGGCGATGTAAAGAAACGCCTAACTCAGACAACAGATGACACACCCAATGCAGTTCAACACAGACATTAGCAACCGCATGAAACTCAGCCTCAGTAGACGATCGAGTCACAGTAGGCTGCTTCCTAGATGCCCAGGCAATGAGATTAGGTCCCAAATAAATGAGAAAACCATTAGTAGAACGACGATCATCCGGACAACCAGCCCAGTCAGCATCACTAAAAGCAGTAAGAGTGCCCAAATCTGTAGGATGCAGAACTAAACAGCAATCAACGGTACCACGAAGATAGCGAAGAATCCGTTTTAGAGCCTGAAAATGAGAAGTGCGAGGCTGATGCATGAACTGACAAAGCTTATTAACCGCAAAGGAGATATCTGGACGAGTGAGAGTGGTATACTGCAGACTGCCACACAGCCAACGATAAGTAGTCGCATCATCAGAAGACAACAGAGTACCATCCAAACGGGACAACACAACATTAGCTTGTAAAGGAGTGGAAATAGGTTTGCAAGTATGCATATTTGCAAGTCGTAGCAAATCAGTGACATACTTGCGCTGAGAGAGAAGCAAACCCTTGGAAGTACGACGAACCTCGACCCCAAGAAAGTAACTCAACGGACCGAGATCCCGAAGAGAAAACTCCTTAGCAAGACAAGAGATAAAATACTGGACCAAACCAGAAGTGCTACCTGTAAGGATAATGTCATCCACATAGACCAGCAAAAAACATAACTGAGACCCACGGCAATAGACAAAGAGGGAAGGATCACAACGAGACTCCACAAAACCCAAGGTAAGGTAAATGCTGCCACCGAGAATACTGGGCCCGAGGAGCTTGCTTAAGACCATATAAGGACTTATGCAGTTTACACACATAATGAGGGCGCACTGGATCAACAAACCCCTGTGGCTAAACCATATACACAGTCTCACTCAGAACACCATTAAGAAAGGCATTACTGATATCAAGCTGAGAAATCGACCATCCACGAGCCAAGGCAACAGTCAAAACCGAGCGAATGGTGACCGACTTAACAACCGGACTAAATGTGTCAGTGTAATCAACCCCAAAAGACTGAGTAAAACCTCGAGCCACCAACCGAGCCTTATAACACTCAATGGAGCCATCAGCATGGGTCTTAATCTTATAGAGCCATCGATTGCCGACAACATTGCCGGAGGAAGGAGGAGGAACTAAAGTCCATGTGTTATTTTTGAGGAGGGCCAAAATTTCATCCTTCATGGCATTCTGCCACTGAGGAAAGGATTCGGCTTGGGTGAAGGATGTAGGAGCAGTAGACAAAGCTGGGGAAATAGAGGTAAGATGAGCCGAGGGATCAAAGATTTTCTTGGGCTTGGGTTGTGGACGAAGTGTCATTGAGTGCTGACGAGAAGAAGGAGGAGGAGGTGGCGGCGGATGACTGGAATCAGATGATGAAGAGCTGAATGCAGGAGACCTAGCTAAAGATGATGAGTCGGGAGGGATAGGAGGAGACGAAGGAACTGGTGTACTAGAAGGAGACAAAGAGGACACAAGCATACCAGGAGAACTGGTTACACGCAACCAAGGGGTAGCAGAAGACTCCGGCAGCGAAGAAGGAGAACTAGAAATAGGACGTTTAAAGGGAAAGAGTTTCTCATCAAACTCAACATGACGAGCAACATAAAGACGGTTATTCACCACATCAAAACAGCGATAACCAAGATGAGATGGAGAATACCCAAGAAAGACACACTGAGTAGAACAAAAGGAGAATTTATGTCGATTATAAGGGCGAAGAAGAGGATAGACAGCACAGCCAAAAACACGAAGAAAGGTATAATCAGGAGGCTGGTGAAATAGTGTAGTGAAGGGTAGGTGACCATGAAGAGGTTTACTAGGGTGGCGATTAATAAAAAACACAGCGGTTTCAAAAGCAAAATCCCAAAACCGAAAAGGAGTACTAGAATGTCCAAGGAGAGCAAGTCCAATGTCGACAATGTGACGAATTTTGCATTCAGCAGTGCCATTCTGCTCATGAGTGTGTGGGCACGCTAAACGATGAACAATAACGACATCCTTAAAGAAAGAATTGAGAGAACGAAATTCACCACCCCAATCAGAGTTAACACTTTTAATGGTAGTGCCAAATTGATTTTCTACGAGAGCGTTGAATTGCTTGAAAACATGGAAAACATCACTTTTATACTTAATGGGATAAATCCATGTGAATAAAGAGAAGTCATCAATAAAAAGCACAAAGTAGTGATAACCATTGAATGAAAAAATAGGAGCAGAGCCCCAAACATCAGTGTGAATTAAATCAAGAGGTTTTAGAGCTACGATGAAAAGTAGAAGGTAAACTAATCGTATGCAACTTCCCTAAACAACACGCCTCACATTTATCAGTGGACATGGACACAGAGGAATGAGGGAGTTGAAACTGTCTAACCAAAGTACGAAGAGTGACATTATTAGGCTGTCCTAAACGAGCATGCCATTGACCTAAAGAGACAAGATAAGCTGCTAGAGCCAAGAAACCACGAGCAGGAAGATCTAAGCAATAGAGACCATTATCAGCCCCGACCGCGGAGGAGGAGTTCCTTGGTTGAAAGATCCTTAACACAACAAGAGTTAGAATAAAATTCAAAGAAACAGTGATTATCATGAGTAAATTTTTGAACAGATAACAGAGGCTTAGTAAGAGAAGGAGCATGCAAAACACGATTTAAATAAAGAGGACGAGAAAACGATGGTAAAACAGATTGACCAACATGCTGAATAGGTAAACTATCTCCATTACCAACTAAAATACGATCCGTACCATTATAATCATTGGAGATATTGAGAGAGGACAAATCTGGCGTGACATGATCGGTAGCACCAGTGTCCGGATGCCAGGGAGTGACAGAAGGGGCATACTGCGCCATATGGGCTTGAGACGACATAGTTGACTCCGGGTAAGATGGACGAGGCAACAAACCAGCCGAATGTGGTGCAGGAGAAACTGTCTGGG